GAGAGAGAGAGAGAGAGAGAGAGAGAGAGAGAGAGAGAGAGAGACAGATAGAGAGACAGAGAGAGAGATAGAACAGCCCCAGCCAATCACAAACAGCCCGTAGTAAGGCACCACGATCCAATAAACCGAGGTCGGGAAACAGAATGTGGAGCTGTTCAGTCCGCCCGGGCCAAGAGAAAAAACTGTCCTTGGCTCAGACAGGAGGGGGGAAAAAATGGGTTTTCGTATGGTTGTCTGCACACACACACATACACACACACACACATAAACGCATACAGACACACACGCGTCGTGGATACACACGAACAAGCGTCTGCATGTACTCCAGTCAATAAAAGATGTCGCCTTCTTTGTTTATTACGTTCAACATCAGGATTCACAGCAACTTTGTGACCTTGTGGTGAACGACTCAAACAATTTTACAGGAAATAAGAATTGTCAATTGTGTCTTATAAAAAGAGGTCATTGGATATGAGAAGAAAAATCAGTATCAAATCAAAATGAAAGCCTATACGTTTTTATGTTAGAGTTAAGGAAGGTACCTTAGTCCAAAGACGTCCCCTTTTAAACTAATTATATTCATAAATTCTCAAGAAAGTAATTTGTTTTCATCACCAGAGTTAACTGATTTCTCCTACATTGAAAAGAGATACATCTAATGTAGCAATAAGGTTTAAAGTGTTCAATTTACACTGCAAATATGGTGTTTAAATTCAGGTTCAGATTCCCAGCATGGAGACGTCCTTGATTTCCAGTCATGCAAGTGAGTACTATTTGATATGATGATGCCATTTTTCAGTAATTCGTTCTCACAGTCATGTCATCACACAAAGTTTTTAGATAGAAACTGTTATTTTTACCAGTTTACTTTGTCTTAGCTCTCATAAAAGAAGCCTGTTCACTGAAAACACAATTATAAGCTTGCATCTTCATTTCTATGCAAATGCTGTTTTCCATCTTGAAACTGTTTCAGTGTCTGAGATAGTAAGTCTCCCCTCAGATTAAGATTCCTAAAAACAAGACACTCACACCAGATTTGTATATAGTTTTGCCAATTTGCTGGATTACAATAGGATCAAGTATTTAAAACTCTGAGCAGTGAGAAAGTGAGCTGAGATCAACATATAATGCTGATGGACATATTCCTTCTAAACTAGTTATATGAGTATTTTTTCAAAACAATTTCTTAGTTTATTAGATATTTTGAGAGAAAATAAATTCCCCCACTTAAGCCTATGAGCTCTTAAACCTCATCGTAAACACTTTAGTTTTTCTTTTAATAAATAGTATTTCCTCCTCTTGATTCAATGATCCTTCCAAATAATGTGTGGAGCCTTTATGTGATAGTCCAGTGCACACATTGAAAATTACAGGGTAAATAACATAAACCAACATTCTTATTAGATTTTGTTGTTCATGGTTATACAACCTTTTGGCCTGGTTGAAGGGGTGGCCTAAATCAGAAGTATATAGCATGAGCTTTGTCGATTCTTCTAGAAAAAGTCGCATGACATTCAAATTACACTTTTAAAAATGCATGTGTATTTAAGATATATGTGCAATAACCAGGAGTGGTGATGCACCTGAATGCACCATGATGATTCAAGCCAAAACACAGTTCATGGCTTTTTCATGGACAGTCAGGAAGCCAGGAGACAAGACAAGGGTCCAGTGAACTATCCAAAAGTTCCAAAATCAAAGAAAAAATCAAGTCTGAGAGGGAACAGGTAAACCAGGAATAATAAAAAGAAACAAACCAAGGAGAATACAATTGGCCGGAAAAGTTCACATCCCAAAAACAATGCCAAAGTATTCTAACAGACAAGAGGTGAAGACACACATATAAAAAACACGTATGAAAACCTGAACCCCCCGATGTCATCACTGATATGTGAGGAGGTCAAGAGTTCAAGCCTTGGATCCTATTTCTGTCACAGTTGTGTGATGGGAGTAAATGTCAGAAGATTAAATAAATTCCCTCTCCTTTCCCGAAATGCTGTCATGGCTCATTTAACCTCCTTCTGTTGGCAGAAACCTCCGTAACTTCTTGGGATAATTCAGAAATCCAAACCACCCGTGAAATATCATCACAGCAGAACTATGCAGAATTAGGCTTGATCTTGACTGAGACCAATTTTTTTAATCAGACCTATTTGGACTTTTGAGGGGGCATGCGATTCCCTTAATAAATCTATATTTGTATGTAGCGTCCAGTTTGTTTGTTAGAAATAAGACAAAGCTTTAGTGTTACTACTGTTAGCAATTTCAGACGTCATCAATGTGGATTCTTTCCATCACAACATCTGTAAAGACGAAGTCATACAATCACGACCAAAAAGTAACAGCCTTAAAAAAATGTTGGGAGAAGAATTAAAACACAGTGATTTCATGACCAACAACATCATTTCAGGGAAATGAGGCCATGTAAGCTACAGTCCGTTTAAAGAACATAGAAATTATACATGCGAATGAAACCACTTGTGCATTTCATCGTGACTTCTTTGTGTGTTCTTTACATT